AAAACTTTTCTTGGATCTCGCAGGTTTCGTTCGGCTATCAAAATCGGTACCAGAAGTCCTGCGTGGGACCGTTAAAAAATACATTGTACCCAGGTTAAATATAACACCAAACACCACCAATACCGCTGTTACGGGACCATTTAGCAGATAACCCATACAAGATATCTTAGATAGTGGTACGCAGCGAAAAAAGGTTACAACGACAAATAAAGTTCGTGCTGCTTATCACGCAGGAATTCACTATATACATCTAAAAAAGTAGGATCGACTTTGTTCCGAAAGCACTAAAAGCCACGCCTTTCACACCATCCGAAGCTTTATGCCCATAAATCATGTTATTCCTTCCCTTCCTGCGACCCTGGGATAAATATATATATATATATTAGTAATTAACTATTATTACTTATTATTGTCATTACTGTTACTGTTATTATTATTAACGTTACCATTAATACTATTACCATTGTTAAGTATATTATTATTGCTATTATTAACTATATTATTATAAATTGTTATTATTATTATTATTATTTATCACTATTCTCAAAGCAACCATTAACCAACTGCTTAAAAAAAAAAAAAAAAGGGAATACGAGTTTGTTTTCATAAATTTAACTTGTGCAAAAATCTAGAAGGTATCTTTTGAATCGTCAATACATTTTGTATTTTTGATTTGATTTTGTGATCTTTCAAAATTTTTTTTTTTTTTTTTACGAAAAATTTTCCTACTCTAGGTTTGTTTTTTTTTTCCAGTGCAACAATTTTTCCCATTTGCAGGAGCAATTGGACATAGCCAAATACAAAGTTTAAAAAATAATTATTATATCAGGCTAAAAAGAAATACTTCCACAGTCATTCGTATAGCGGGACTTTAAAAATGGGTCCCTGAAAGCTTTCTATAATCATTTCTTTCGTCATTTCCAAGAAACATTCTAAGAGCTAAACATACAGTTAAAAATGTAATAAAAATTTCAATTTGAGCAAGCGAATTAGCAGGTGTTAAGGAAATAATTCATTTTCCCATTTAGCTTGAGGAAAAAAATTCTATTGAATAGAATCCACATCTACCACGTGTGAACTTTTAAAAGCAAAGAAATCAGAAGTACATGTAAGATAAATGAGAAAATTTTGTGGAAAACTCAAAAATTCTCAGCTCAGTTCTTCAAATTTTTGCAGAAAAGCGAACTCTGTGATCAAAATTTCTTTAATTTTTTCTAAATATTTCCACCTTTATGACAGTTGTCTGAATATGAGAGCGTAGAACTCGTGATACTTAAACGGTAACTTATGAAATATGGTGCAAATTTAGTGAACTTAAAACCTGGAACCTACTACCACTTAAAAATTTCTCAAAATCTTTATTGGATGTATATTTGATGGATAAAATGAGTATAAAAATTCCAAAGAAATATTCTGAAATAATGAGATTTTAAAGAAAGCAATATTCAGAACCAATAAAAAACAAGAAAAATTTGGAAACATAGAGAAGGAAAAACTATCACTTGCCCAGCAATTACTTTCCCGCTGGCACGAACTGAATAAAACCAAACTGAAAAACCTTCTAATTACTTTCCCTACTGTTCCATCCCTACAACTGCATCCTGCTTTTTAATAAAACAAAAAATAGATACCTTCCAATATCTTCACAAATTGGAGTGGATCCATCGAGCATAAGGGACATATTTGTCAATAATGACCGTTTTCCCCTTTCCACCTCTTCCTCAGTTATATTATCACATAAGTCGATCCTGAACCAGAATATACAAATTTTGGACCCAAGCATAACAACACAGTTCAAAAAATAGAATATGCTAAAAAAAAAAAAGATAAATCCTTTAAGATCCCACTTCTTTATTTACTTAATTAAGGGAAAATTTTACTACATAAATAATACCACTGTTGTGTAATATTGTCCACAACAGCACGAGCTCCGTTTTGTTCACATACAAAATAGACGCCAACTAGACCGGTGTCCTTATAGCACGTGTTAAAAGCTTGGAATGATTGAACCCGAGCATTTAAACCCAAACTTTGAGCTAAACGTGATGGTGCATTGATCCCAACTGCATTTGTTCGATCCCATTGCCCAATCAACTAGAAATCAACTAAGTTGTACAAATTTAAAACTTTGAAATTCAGAATTCCATAAAAAAAATTTGATCATATTCAATTCCGAAGAAATGACTGACCGTATTTGCAACCATCAAAGGAATATTGTGAGGATGGGTCCACGAAGCTCCTTCAACAGCAAGTGCACCAAACACCATCGACATCCTTTCATCGCGGATGTCCTGCTAAAATACATCAATAGAAAGCAAGCTTATGTCATTAATATATTTGAATCATATGATTCCATTACCAATAGCTAAAATTTAAAACTGTTAAACTTAAACAAACTCGAAACACTGGAAAACTGTTTAAATATTAAATCTGATTCAACATTACTTGCTGCTAAAGTGATACTGAAATACTATACTTTTCACTGTCAGCTTCTGCTATGCAACTTTCCACTACGTAAATTAACCATTTGAAAATCTAAGGATGAATCACTCAGGTGATGCACATACTTTTTTATACATGAACAAGTTCCCTACAGCTTTCACTGTATTTACAATGAAAGCTTACAAGAATTTGGTTCTTTTTATGCTCATTATTTCAAAGTTCAATGACCTGACCTATAAGACTTTGTTTTTTCATTACTGGCTCCATTGTTCCTATCTATCACTATGGTTATAAGGTTCAATGTTTGGACTGAAACACACAAAAATTACTGAATATAAGAACAAATGATGACAAAATTGAAAGAAACAAAATATCATACATAGCTTGCAACAAACTTTCCAGATTCAGCTATGAAATTATCATCAACGCCACCTAAATCTCCGAAATACTGTTTGCCTAAATCGACCAATTTATGGTGATCAACACCGCCTGCCGCTGCCAGTACCATATGAGGTCCTCGGTAATGTTCATTTATGTACTTCATCAAATCTTCACGTTGCAATGACCTGAAACCATAACATAAACTGTGAAATTAATTTCATCGACTGCATGCAGTTAGTTTGACATTACTGAAAATCGTCGATTACATCAAATGAAGTAAACAGATTTTATGATGGAATTTTCGGGATTTTTTTTTCTTTTACGAGGTTATTTCAGAACAGGTCATCGTGCAACTACAGAAAACTGCACCGTAGTTAAGAAACGTTTTCAACATCAGTATAGCTTAACGGATAGGAATGTCTCACTTGATATTTTCAACGGGTCCAAGTATTGTTCTTGCGAGTGAGGTACCCTTAAATGCACCAGCGTGGAGATGATCAAAGACAACCTCCTGCAAATTCTGTTCAACTTCTTGCATTTCACGCAATATTACACCACGCTCCCGTTCGATTTCAACAGTTCTCAATTGACTGTTACGTAGTATATCGGCAAGAATTTCTACAGCTGAAAGAGTTTTTACTTATTGTTTTTAATGTAGAGACAATCAACAGTCGCTGAATGTATATCAGCGAAAACATGCCATACTATATAATTTGTACCAATGCGAAATATCCGTAATATCCTGATTTAGTTTTCGTTTTCAGAAGCAAATGATGGACGTTGAAAATTTTCGAAATTTAATGCAGCAAAAATATGCGAATACTATTTACCGTGATCTACGTCCTGAGAAAAGCATTTGGCATAATACACTGTCTGCTCTCGGGAAGTATACGCATTCAAATGTGCACCCATATTTTCCACTTCTAGCTCCAAGGCTGACTGCGAACGTTTCATTGTACCCTTCAAAAAGAAAAAAAAGTATTGCAATCATGCCTGTGATTGAAATAGACAATAAGTTTGAAGATATATTATGTGAGAAACATAACCTTGAAAGCCATATGTTCCAGAAAATGAGCAACACCATTATTCTTGTCATTTTCAAATCGACTACCAGCATCGATCCAAACACCTACCTGAGAGAAATATCATGATAACAATAGTAAAGTGTATATGAAAATAAATATGGGGAACTTTACAATATATAGGAAACAAAAACTCATGAAAATCCAGTGAAAGAATGAACAAAAAAGAAAGAATCAAATAATCAGCAAAATATTAGTGATCTGACAAATAAAAATAGGTGCAGAAGCACCAGTGATGAGAGGAAAACATTTCGTAATTTGACATCCGACAATTTTGGCAATAAGTCTTGATGACAGCATAAGAGAATCATAGTTTTAATAACTCGATACTATTAGAAATAGACAAACTGTAGTAGTGAGAAGCTGAGAATCTTCGGTAGCAATCCGGAAACCATTGCTTAATGAGGTTACTCGTGTTTCTGGGATATTCAAATAGACCGGCGAAGCAGAGGCTGCAGAATTGTAAAAACGAGGCTGAAAAAATACTTATAAAGTGAATCGATCATGAATAGCAAAATAACCAAAATGATCAAAAAAATTAACAGATTGCGACAAAAAAAAAAAATAGCAAAATAGCAACCGAAGTACTTACGCAGAGTTGCTGCAAACAAATGGTACTGAGCGGCAAACAAGAAATACTGCCGCGTCGCAATGTTTCTTTTAGTGTACATATCAATGAACGCATTAAATTCCGTGAATCCCTATAAGTGTTACAAACCTTAAGAAACTCCGTAACCTGGACTGATCAGTGTAACGAAACCAATAGTAATATTCTTCCCGATACCGCACCAACAAAAATTAGAGAGTTGGTATAATGAAGCTCTAATTTCATAAATGCATTCTATGCATTTAATAAGATTGTTTCCTATGTCTTAGATATACAATGAAAGCAGATGAATTAAGGTCAACTAAAGAATACATAAATTAATTTGGCAAGTCTTTATTGTCTTTCCTTTCGTAGATTTTTATCTATACCCTACCACACACTACCATAACATCTTCCATTAACCCTCCGAACTCAATCCACAATACAAGACAACTCAGCACACTCATATTAGATAATCTAAGAAACCTAATGCGGTATAACGCGGTTGGATGGCTTTCAGTGGAAATTGCGCAACCGTAGAAATAGCATTAGCGGAAGTGTTATGGACTAAACAACGATATGATTCGTATCAATTTTATCATGTTTTTAAGGAAGTTAGTTCACAAATTTTCAAAAAATGGGAAGGGATTTTTGTTTGGAAATAGATAAAATTATAAATCATGGAATTACATTCAATATGAGATATCAACGAATGAACAACATATCATATTTTCAGATTTATTAAAGCATATAAATGATAACTAATTGCAGGATGAACTGAAAGCTCTGATAACAATGACACCATCATTGCGGCTAGTACATTTAGCTTACGAACATGCAAACTGGTGGGCAATTGCCGAAAAAGCTGATTCCTTCTCGTAATTTTTCTTTCGGTTTGATAAAAGAACATTTGTCCTTTCTATCATGATCAAATCTTTTTTATTTATCTCTGTCCGTCGTGTTATTTGTTAACTTTAATTACGATATATTTCTTAGATGTAAGAAAAAAATGCATATTATAGCTTGTCTTTTAAAATAAAATCTATTCACAAAGTATATAATATAGATAAGTAAAGATATAAAAAAAAAAGGATAAAGAAATTTGCATGAATTATTGTCTCCACAACAAATATTCAAATATTGCATCTAATATCTAAATAAAAAAAGTACGTAAAAGCACGCACGCACTCGACGATGGTGGGAAGAAGAGAAAACAGACAAAACCTGAACCGGAAGATTGGTACATGTTTAATATGTTTTAGATCATACAAGCCAACTTGATTTTTTTGGTGTTTAACATTTTCACATGATCTCTCTCTCTCTCTCTCTCTGTCTGTACCATCACCATTGTTATTACTGATACTGTAAGCGAAGAATTCAGTAACGATAGTCTCATTAAGGCGTTTTAGTTATTCAATAGAGCTCGTAAAAAGCTTTGGTAGTTATTTATTAATAATAAACAGTCATTCTGGGTTGATGTAGATGGCAGTAGTGTAGAATAGCATAGGTACTTACAGATAGTTCTTATTTGGTAAGTTAAATAAGACAACAAATAATTGTTGAAGTTGAAGAAGGAGTGAGTGTGCGAAACAAACCAAATTTTTAATTGAAATTTATTAACTGTCCGGCGCAGTTGATTTTATCCTTATATAGTACTAGCTGACAACAAAGCGCATTATTAGTGTATAGCTGACAAGCAACAAAAGAAATTAGTTGGAAAAGGAGCTAACAATCTTTAAAACAGTCGAATCTAAATTTATTTATCAAACTGGGAGACTTCAACAATAAAACTGAAAATATTAAGGCTTCGCAGATTTTTTCCCACATCTGAGAAATATGTCGTAATTAAAGGATAGAGATGGCTAAAAGTGAGTTTTTGATTATGATGGAAAAGATAAATGTTCTTTAAGTAAATCGGAAAAAATCTGAAATAAATGCAAAAGTCATCGATGTTAAGCATTTAAAAAAGAACTGTAATGAAACTTAATAATAGCTAATGACTGTATTTTAAGCATCCACAGTTATGTCTGGAATAACTAGTTTTGTGCGATTTCCTGGACAGTTTGATTCTGATTTGCGCCAGCTAGTTGGTTCCTTTCTCGAAATTTCACTTTCTAAATCTACTTTTGTTCCATTTAATATTGACAGTACATATGGATATCATTTGAGCATCAATCGAATGATCGGAAAGGCTGCTTTTAGAAACATTAGATTAAATTATAATTTCAATCTTCTGATTTTTCACTTACTATGAAACTCTTTCATTTAGTGTTGCAATTGTGTGACATTCGAAGCATTTATTTCACTACCATTTTTTTATTGTTCGGAATGACAGCTATTTGAGTCAATTTCCTGTCGCTTCTACAAGGTTGTAAGATTTGAATTGACTTAGAAATTAGTGTAAGTCATAGTATGAATAACTTTTCAATTCATATAATGTTCAAGTGCTTAAAAATTCCATTATAGCTATTTGGCGCTCGTAATTTAATAACTGCCTGTAACCCAACAGCTGGGCGCTATATGAGTGCTGTAGCAATGTTTCGTGGACAATTATTATTATTATTATTATTATTGTTATTATTGTCATTACTATTAATATTAGTTACTAATTATTATTATTATTATTATTTTTATTATTATTATTATACAGATGGAATGGGAAAATATAGATGTCACTTTGTGAATAGATTTTATTTTAAAAGACAAGCTATAATATGCATTTTTTTCTTTCATCTAAGAAATATATCGTAATTAAAGTTAACAAATAACACGACGGACAGAGATAAATAAAAAAGATTTGATCATGATAGAAAGGACAAATGTTCTTTTATCAAACCGAAAGAAAAATTACGAGAAGGAATCAGCTTTTTCGGCAATTGCCCACCAGTTTGCATGTTCGTAAGCTAAATGTACTAGCCGCAATGATGGTGTCATTGTTATCAGAGCTTTCAGTTCATCCTGCAATTAGTTATCATTTATATGCTTTAATAAATCTGAAAATATGATATGTTGTTCATTCGTTGATATCTCATATTGAATGTAATTCCATGATTTATAATTTTATCTATTTCCAAACAAAAATCCCTTCCCATTTTTTGAAAATTTGTGAACTAACTTCCTTAAAAACATGATAAAATCGATATGAATTATAACGTTGTTTAATGCATAACACTTCCGCTAAAGCCATTTCAATGATGCGTTTCACAAATCCCATTGAAAATCGTTCAATTTCATAATATCTCATAAGGCTTCGCAGATTGCCTGTTATCAGTGTGTTAAAATTGCGTTTTGTTGTGAATTCGTTGAGAAGAATTGACGGAAGATGTCGCGATAGTATGTAGGAGGTTGTGAATATTTTATAAATGTGATGAAATAACGATAGATGCGAAGGCTGTGTTGCATTCTTTGCCAAAGACTTCACGGCTATAGAATCCTTAAAAGGTTACTATAATTCTTTTTATCATTTCGTGGAAATGATTTTATTATTTGGTTTAAGAAGTTGAGGAAAACACGGCATATTGTGTTGTGTCAGGAAAACTTTAAGCAATTTCAGGTTTATGAATTTGAAGTTGCAATTAAATCATTAAGAACCTCATTGTAGTGAAATAGCATACTGTTGTGGTGATAGAATTGAGTGTACATCCTAATTTACTAAGAACTTACCCTTATTAGACGCTCTTCTCTAGTTGAATTCATATGGAATTTGACCGCTGGAATACGTTCAAAATATCATATCGATATAATAAACAGGATATGAAATTATAATTTCCCAACTTGTGATAAATTGAAACCTCCCTCTTTTCAGTATGATGTTATTCACAATTTCATAAATAAGTTCAGGAACGAGAGCTTTCAGTACATCCAAAACAATGATAGGCAGCAAAGTTAATAGTTGAGAAGATTAAGAATGGTTTAGTCGTGCCATAAAGTTTTGTTTAGTTGTGTTCTTGGTTATCAGTAGTTATGCGATTCCTTACTCTCAGACGATTATTTACTTAATTTAATCCTTCTGGGGAATGAATTTCATTATTATTGGAAAGTATGAAAATTGAATACGCTTATCGTGACCACTGAGAGAAATACTATCGCAATGATGCAATTGGCAAGGCACCAGTACGTCTTGTGACGGGAATTTCCCATTTGGTTGTTCGAATGCCCAAACATATATCAATACTTGACCACTAAAAAAGATGTAGAAAGTAAGGTATATTTGCCAAATTTGTATATATGTAAAGAATGAAATGAAAAGTTCACATTCGATAAGCGATCATCATGAGATATGCTATTATGAATGATAGAACAATCTTGTTAATTCCTTCCCCGTGAACTAGTAAACAGCAGGAATAAATAACTTGCCGGGGTCGTAAGCATCGTGCAACTTCAGTTAACGCCCGTTTCCTCCGATCGAGCGTTGTAAAATGGTGTAAAACCGATACTAATAAGGCAGCATCAATACTATTCGACCTATAACTTGAATGATATCAATGACGAAATATCAAAAATTTCAAGTCATAAAGATGACGGTTGTACCCATTCATTAGTCACACAACTCCGATCTTCTCCTTTTCCCAACCACTTCACTTCTGTAATGGCAGACAAAAAGTTTAAGCCAAAAGAAGTATCTTTTACCTATACGGTAAATTTAGAGCATCTGCTAACTGCAAGTCAACCATTGGCGGTAATTGCAACTGCACAAGCATTTCTAAACATGTATCGCAATCCATAAAGAAACAATCGTTTCTGTGGTATTTCGCTTCACCACAACCTGAACTAACAAATATCTTCACTGGGGTATCCTTTCAGTGGACAATAAGAATAACCTAGCTTACTTAGTAGTAAATAAATTTTTGTCATTTGCTCAAGTTTTCAGGTCAGATATTGACAGAGCATATCATGTTGCAGCGCAAATATGTTTCACTTTTATTAGCTTTTGCTACAATTTGCAAGTATTAGTTTTGTTTTTGTTTTTGTTTTTCGTGTATTGTATTTGTTTTTTATTACAAATGAAAAGAAAAAAAAAAAAAAAAAAAACAAAAAGAATTTGCCGATATCAATGACAACTGTGCCCAGCGGGAGTTGATTAACAAACTGTTGAACATTAACCCATCGAACTGCCGACTTTCGAGTTGCATTTCGACAGTAAACAGCATCCGGAAGTGATGCCAAACATTTGTATGCTTCCTGAACGTATTTTTTCTCGATATCCATTGCAGTTTCCAGTGTCACTGTATAATACTCCCTATGTTGAATAACCAAAGTTCTAATGAGATTATCGTAATTGGACATAGAGGGATTTCTTACTACTTCGAATTAATGCTATCACATTTATCCCACGATTTTATATAATGATATAGAGAGATACGTTGTTATTGATCATATGCAAGTTGTGAAAACGCACCTTCAAATTTATCATAATAATATCTCGGATAAATACGAAATGATAGCAGTGTGAACTGATTATGAGCAAAATCTACCTGGAAAATACAAATGCTTATATATGTATATAAGCAAGGCAAGTAGTGTGATTTCTTTATAGATTTGATTCAACTTCTATTAGTTAATTTATAAACTTATATAAATCGAAGGATAAATGTAATAGTATTAATTCGAAGTAAGTAGTAAGAAGTTGTTATTCTATCCAGTGTCTCAGGAGAATACGAAATGTAGGTATGCTAATATTTGGAACGAAACATAAGAGCAGAGTTCAAAAACCAAGCCGACAAATGCTTCATCTCACTAAATCCTATAGCAAAGATGTTTTTTCAGCAAAAAAAGAAACTACTGTACACCGGCTTTCTTTAATTTTATTATAACGCATTTCCACGAAAATATAATTTAAATCTAATTCACTACAAGATTTTTTTTAACCTAATAAAATTAACTAACTACTCATCACGTTCTTTGCAATATAGGACGATTATCACTTTGATTATATTGCATTTTTACGAAGATATAAGTTAAGCTTTATGATGAATTTTCAAAATCTTCGTAGTGTAAAAGTTATCACAAAAAAATAAATCTTAGTTAAGTATGTATCGATCAAATCGACGTGTTTACTATGTCAGTTGTAACACACGCCAAATGTACTGAATTAGAAAATAATATTGATATACATTTCAACACAGGTTATAGAGATAATAAACTATTCCCCATGCCTTTAATTTGTTTTCCATTTTGTACCAGCATTCATCCCTATCTCTATGTCTTCATTTAACATTTGATACAATGGGAAAATTAAAGAGAATAATATTTCGGCTTCTCAAACAAAAATAAATGCAAAAAAAAAAAAAAAAAAAAAAAAATATTAGTACAACAACCAAATCAAAAAAAAATTCTGACGCAGAAAACAAAATCTTACTGTTTTAATAACAAAAAATTGTATCCCCGAACAACATGACGTGACTTTTAAAAAATGGCATATCTTAAAAAAAAAAAAAAAAAACAAATTAAAATCAGGGCATTTTTCCGAACAAAAATTTATGTAAAGGTGATTTTATTTTATAGAACTATGATAGTAATATGCAATAAATTCACAGAAGTGAAGCAAATTATAAACGCACCTGAGAGTAAATAACGTAAACTATTCCACTTGTTTAAATAAAAATGGAAGAATGCAGTACTCGAATAAGAATAAGCAACTTCTCATCATAAAAGCCGTAAAGTAAACCGACTGTATGATAAAGAAATGCTTTTCGTTATTTGAAAGAAATGGATCGGACGACAAAAGTTATATCGACCTATCCATAGCAACGGCAATCTGCTTCATGCAACATAATTCCAGTTATTTAACAATTTCATATTTTTACATCCCGAAAGTGACTCATGTAGCAAATTGGTAATCAGACTTATAACAATAATAAAAAAAAATGAATTTGAGACATTGTGCTGTACGTACTGCTATGAGTACGGTTAGTAATTCGAATCTCGGAATAGGAGCAATTTGAGACTTGGCAAAGACCAAGAAAACTTCCTTCCCTTCTTGTATATCAAAAAATTAATAATGACAATAATAACAACAATAAGATCAATAATAATAAAAATAATAAACAAATAATAATAACTAACAGCCAGATTCGAAATATTCCGTACCATAAAATTCGATATATATCACAAATAAATATATTACTGCATAATTCAGTTGATATAAAAGACAGTTTTGAAGCTACTGATTAGCTTATTCAATATCATTAAGTATTTGCTTCTAATTATCAGTCGTTCCATTTTGATCCATACCATTAACCATGTGCCATATATTCCGAAATCAAATCCTTCATCTCAAATTGCGCTTCCATGAAGTGCGATTCGTCTATCCCCTCGCTTGTATACCAGTGTACAAAGGCTTTGCGTCGAAGCATCGTTATAAAAAGAATTTTACCAACATCAAAACTTTATTTTAAAACTTTTTTCACATGATCTCAATCAATTCATTGATTAAATGAGGTATCATTACGACTCTTCATGTATGATCAATCAATTAAAAAGGAAAAGCTACCTTAGAATTGCTTCCCGATTCTGACAAACACTTCCCTCATAGCAGTAATATTACCGAGGAAGGCAGCGCTGATAGCGCTCCTATCAGCGCCCAATTTGCAGCTGTCACCTTGATGTTATTTAGCACCTGTTCAAGGTGTGGAATATTTCGAGCACTTGAAAGATAACCTCGCACTTCCTGGAAAAGAAGATTTGATGTCGTTTCGATCATGACTTAAACGATGTTGTAAATTCATATAAATTGATTTACTGACATCCACCGAAACATTGCTACAGCACTCATATAGCGCCCAGCTGTTGGGTTACAGGCAGTTATTAAATTACGAGCGCCAAATAGCTATAATGGAATTTTTAAGCACTTGAACATTATATGAATTGAAAAGTTATTCATACTATGACTTACACTAATTTCTAAGTCAATTCAAATCTTACAACCTTGTAGAAGCGACAGGAAATTGACTCAAATAGCTGTCATTCCGAACAATAAAAAAATGGTAGTGAAATAAATGCTTCGAATGTCACACAATTGCAACACTAAATGAAAGAGTTTCATAGTAAGTGAAAAATCAGAAGATTGAAATTATAATTTAATCTAATGTTTCTAAAAGCAGCCTTTCCGATCATTCGATTGATGCTCAAATGATATCCATATGTACTGTCAATATTAAATGGAACAAAAGTAGATTTAGAAAGTGAAATTTCGAGAAAGGAACCAACTAGCTGGCGCAAATCAGAATCAAACTGTCCAGGAAATCGCACAAAACTAGTTATTCCAGACATAACTGTGGATGCTTAAAATACAGTCATTAGCTATTATTAAGTTTCATTACAGTTCTTTTTTAAATGCTTAACATCGATGACTTTTGCATTTATTTCAGATTTTTTCCGATTTACTTAAAGAACATTTATCTTTTCCATCATAATCAAAAACTCACTTTTAGCCATCTCTATCCTTTAATTACGACATATTTCTCAGATGTGGGAAAAAATCTGCGAAGCCTTAATATTTTCAGTTTTATTGTTGAAGTCTCCCAGTTTGATAAATAAATTTAGATTCGACTGTTTTAAAGATTGTTAGCTCCTTTTCCAACTAATTTCTTTTGTTGCTTGTCAGCTATACACTAATAATGCGCTTTGTTGTCAGCTAGTACTATATAAGGATAAAATCAACTGCGCCGGACAGTTAATAAATTTCAATTAAAAATTTGGTTTGTTTCGCACACTCACTCCTTCTTCAACTTCAACAATTATTTGTTGTCTTATTTAACTTACCAAATAAGAACTATCTGTAAGTACCTATGCTATTCTACACTACTGCCATCTACATCAACCCAGAATGACTGTTTATTATTAATAAATAACTACCAAAGCTTTTTACGAGCTCTATTGAATAACTAAAACGCCTTAATGAGACTATCGTTACTGAATTCTTCGCTTACAGTATCAGTAATAACAATGGTGATGGTACAGACAGAGAGAGAGAGAGAGAGAGATCATGTGAAAATGTTAAACACCAAAAAAATCAAGTTGGCTTGTATAAATTTTTCTGAACTATGCGTTTGAAACGCACTGCAATTCATCCTAATAATATTTCGGATAAAGACAATTGCGTCACTATAAACTCGAAAACAAATGTTTGCAATGTACATATAAGTAAGGCAAGTAACTTCATTTACATATCTGATTCAATTTATATTAGTTTATTTATATACATGAAAAAACTCAGAATATTACAAGTAACCAACCGACTTTTTCCGAAATTCATTTCCAGTTAGACCTTTTTGGGATCACTCTCCAACGACTGCCGTGGATTTCGCTCACCGTTTATCTTGAATAACATTCTAATACAGTTGGTCATAGTGATTTATATGTGGTAGGTCTGCTTGTCCGTGTGCATGTGTATGTGTTTCTTTGAGAGATAGCATAGACTATTGAAAACTGTAAAGAGAATAGCGTGATGGAAGAGATTGATGGAATTTAGGAGATATAACATTATCAGACATGGCGAGGAAGCCGAATGAGTATGGGAGAAGTGGCGGAAGTGATTGAAAGAGCGCAATAATTTATTGATAAAGTGAAAGTTTTGTTGGTAGCAATTGTATGACATATGGATTATCTGGTAGTACGTAAAGATATCGTCATCACGAATGCCAATTTTGGTACGTGAAGGTATGATCATCGTTGACAGATAAAGATGTCATTGTTTTAGTATGTGAATGTACCGGCATTCGTGATTGTCATTTCATCAAAAATATAATTGGTGTGATGACTGTGACAAATATCTATGTGATAAAAGAATTAGTCGATTCAGAGAAATAACTTCTCTTGTTTCAACACTTGTTTCTTGATATCTCGTCAAATTTTATGGTTGTTGTAACTCAAGGTTTCCAAGGTATTGTTTGTTAAAGGTATTGTTAAGTTTTAAAACTTTATGTGCGCGATTTATTCTGATTTCCGTGTATTACGAGAGCTATCAGTGAATGGATCGCTATGAACGAAATCATGGTATCGCCTGTAAATAGAAAAAAGGTTTTGGAACGTTACACCATTCTTTATGAATACATTGCGTTAAATGAAAAAGAAAAGTGCTAAAGAAAAACACTGAATAGTTTCAGGTTACTGTATGCTTCAAGTACATGGTAAGATAGCGATATTGAGTGTATTCATACATATAGTGCTACTATATTCAATATTTGATATATACTACTCGTCACCTTTGGTTACGGGCCTTCATCCTTACCCTATCACTAATGGAAAAGGCCTAGCTGATCGTCTCGTCATTTTCTCAGCTGGTTTGTTTAGATTTGGATTTATTATTGTTTCACTTTTCCTTACTAATTTTTCCCAGTAATCAATTCATTATGATGCCATCTTTTTGATAACATCAATTCCCTTTTTACTTTGCAAAACGTGCTCTTTCTTAAATTCAGATATGTTTTTACTGTTTTCAGATGGTTTGCGAGCAGATGCATTCTTCAATCATCCTGAAAAATCACCATTCTTGCACGAAATTATTAATTCAGGCAAGGTGAAGACTCAAGTTTGCTGAGGCTGCTGTGGGCCAATTTACATATTGTAGAGAAATTGAGAAGTCTCGCTTAGGAGAGAGAAGAAACTATGATTCAGGTTATTCCTGGAAAAGAGATTTGCATGAAATCTATTAATTTTAAGAGTTGCTGGGGTGTAAGTGTAAGTCATGTACCGACCGAATCACGTCCTGGACATGTAGCAATGCTTGCTGGCTTTTTCGAAGATGTCAGTGCTGTCGCCCGTGGCTGGAAGCATAATCCGGTTCCATTTGACAGCATCATCAATAGGTAAGACTCTAAAGCAATGTTAACACTGACAAGCATAAGCAACTTCACTTATACAGGTTTCTTTTCTTTTTTAGGGTGTCTTCTGTGCTGAACATGCTTATCGGTAAAGGAAATATAAGAAATGTAATGTCAAATAAGATTTAACATTTCAGAACCAAAGCGCATGATATGTGCAATGATGATATTTGCAATATTGCAGGTCACGAGAAGCATTTGCTTTTGGTAGTCCGGACATTGTCTTGATGTTTACAAATGATGTCAGCCATGCAACCGCAATGGTTTATTCTTCTAAATTAGAAGATTTCCAGCAAAATGACGCTGCGCAACTGGACCGGTGGGTTTTCAGAGAAATAGAAGTGAGTTTTTGTAATGCATGTTTACAAATTTTAATTTTTGCTGAGAAACCTGAGCATTCCATAATAGTAGTAAGATAAAAACTTTTTCCGGAACTTCTGAACAGCGCAAATGTGACTACTGCGAAACGTTTGGCCTCAAATCGGCTTGTGTTTTTCCTGCATTTACTGGGATTGGACACAAATGGACATGGTTATAAACCGCAGTCAGATAAGTACATTGATAATATTGCAGTTGTTGATGCAGGAATTGCTAGAGTGGTACAGTTATTGAACAATTACTTTGCGGATAACAGGTTCGTCAGTTTAAAAAACTTCGTAGATAGCTTGGGACAATGACAGTCATTATTACTGATAAGTGGTGAAGCTGTTATTGCTAGTGATTTTTTCTGCTTTGCATTTCCAACTATTTTTTTTTTTTTTTTTTTTAATCTTTTCCGACAGACTTTTAGGACAGCCTTCTTATTCACCTCAGATCATGGAATGACAGATTGGGGTTCACATGGTGCTGGTACAGAAGCCGAATTAATTACGCCGTTAGTGATTTGGGGACGTGGTGTACGTGGCAGCATTGTGAGGAATGAAATCAGTCAAGTAGATCTTCTTACTCGCGTTTCCATTTTTTTTCAAGGTGTCACTTGATGCACTTATCATGCTTTGATATATACACAATTTAAGATTGATCTGTCATCCCTGATGTCTGCTTTGCTTGGTTGTCCAATTCCAATGAATAGTTTCGGAATTATACCTTTGCATCTTTTGGATGCAATGCCGAGATACAAATTTAAGGTGGCTTATGCCAATTTCAAACAGGTCTGTTGACTATTACTACTTTCTTTTTATAAGAAAACTTGCATTAGGATCCTCAGGCCGTAGCAGGTGATAATAAGTTATATCGTTTTGTGTTTTTATTAGTTCCTCCTTCTTGTTTTATTAATTCCTCCTTCTTCTTTTACTTTACGGTTTACAAAATCTTTTAGCTCCATGTAAGTAGTGGAAAAAAATTGTCGTTTCAACATGTGAGAATATTTCTATCGACTAATGTTTTTCATAATATTGGGACCACAATTTTTCTTAGATGCTGGAACAGTTTATTCTGAAAAAGAGTGAGAAAAAAGCTCATTCATTGCCCTTCATGTTTCGTGATTTCGATGAACTTCACCCACAAATATTGCCCACCATTGAACGCGAAATCAAAAGACTTGTGACACAAAATAGGTTAGTTCCATTGAACAGTGGTTTTTGTCCTTAATCCTGGCCAGTTTAATTAAAATTTGTTTTTTAATCATTGACTGTTAACCTACGTATGGATTCAATGGAAGTTAATGGTTGGCATCTTAAGCCTGTTTTGGACTAGTGCACACTGCCTCTTGCATACAGTTGTACGCCATCTGAAGACGCGTTTTATTTAATGGCTAAACATAAGTCCTTGTTCTATAGGTTTGAAGCAGCTGTAGCTGTATGCTTGCAGTGGATTCCAATTGTTCGAACCGGTTTAATTTATTTTCATCGTCACGACCAAAAGCTGTTGGGATTTGCTGTTGCTTCAACATTCATCACATGGATGTTATGCGTTTATTTCATCACACTGAAGTAAAAAATTTTCGTAAATTGAATCCTGGAAGATATTATCAAAATTGAAAAAACATAGCTTCATTAACTATGATAAATTGTTTTACCAATTATCGAAAACACATTCAGCGAAAAGATTAAATAGAAAGCTTATGGTTGGCCCTTTTTAATATGTTTAATGTAAATTTCTCGTGTTTACAGGCGTTCTTCTATAATTTTGAGGAATAAGAATGTGCTAATTCTAAGCCTAAAGCAGTTTAGTGCTGTTGGCTTCATATTCACGTTGTTATTACTTTGTGGACTGCCATTTATGCATACTTTATATCTGACGCTTCCGATGTATCTTGCATGCGTTTGCTATAATACAGTTGGCGATTTATTTCGTTGTAACTTGGAAAATTTTGTCATAAGTTGGCATTCAACTCATTGTTCAGAAACAATAACAAAGTGGTTTTTGTTATGCGTCTATTGGTTATTTTTAGCTGTTTCAATTGGTAAGTTTTAGTGCGCAGGACGTGGTTTAATTTAGAACCGGAACTGGAGATAAAGACTAAATTATAGCTCAAGTAAATGTAAATGTCATAATTTCAGTTATCAGGACGGAATTTGGGATGTATTATCACGATAATATGGTCAGTAGAAAAGCTGGATTTCGGATGCGCAGTTTATAAGATCGTTTCCTTTTTCAGTGAATATTGAAATCATTTTAATTGTATTTCTAGGTGTGATTCTTTCGATCATTGTTTCCGCTTTCATTTGTCGTCCAATATTATCGGTAGAGTTTTTGGTCCTTGGTTTAATTCCAGTATCAAGGCGTGAAGAGAATCACGATGTAGTTAAGTGGTTGGTATTTGAAAATGGGTGTATTATTTTCGTATTCAAAACTGTGTAAAAATTTTTCAGTTTCAATGAATCTAGTGTTGAAATTTTCAATACTTTACGAAATTTATTATGTAATTTATTATGAAGGAAGGTGTCACTATTATTAATTTAGCACTACATGATGGTGTTATTTTGCTAATTGCATTTACACTTTGAAATGTTTTCTGATGTAATTTTAATTCGTGAATGTTTCTGTTTAGGAAACGAATGTGGTTTATATGTTGTCTGGCTATTGCTATATATCCTCAATTTCCGGTGGTTGGACAAACTCCACTTCCCACAGTTTGTGCCTTATCATCTTTTTTTACCTCACTGTTGATTTTCTGGATTTCTGCTTCTCCAGTGCTGTCATCAGCAAAAGTGTTGTTCCGATGCCATTCAGCTTTACATCTTCTTGCTGCAGTCGTCGTAATTCTTGTGGATACTTTCAGAGATTATAAGGTTGTTTTTAGATATTTTGTTCTTCAAGAATTTGCAATTATAGATGATTTATTGTAATAAGGTACATTTTTTAGTTGTTATTAATGCTTTTACGCTTAATTTGTTGGCTTTCAATTCCTGTGGCAGCAGTTTTACCACTGTTTTCACCTCGATCAATTATCATTCGCCTTATCTGCTGGTTCTCATCACTTATGCTACCATACGCTTTGTTAAGTTTATCATATGAATCATCATTTGTGTTGTTTCTATTCATTCTTCTCATCACATATGTACGTTTGGAATTTGGACACATGAATGATGATGAATTTCTAACTATTCCATTACCAAAACGAGATAACGAAACGAAGCTATTAGCAGGTCAGTCATTTGCGGAATTCAGTTTAACTAAATGTTGCAATTAGAATACTTTGAAATATAAGAAGAAGTCTCGGCTTATCTCTGTTAATGAAATTCCAATGCTTTCTAAGTTTTCTCAGTTCACTGGTTTTGTATTCATTTCAGGTGTTAGCGATACGAATTTTAGTGAATGGCTGCAAGGCTTAATCTTGGTTATCCTAATCAAAGCGGCTTTTTTTGGTACAGGTAATATCGCCTCATTAAACAGTTTTAATCCATCATTTTTACGATGCTTCATATCTGTATTTTCTCCGTTTACGATGACAGCTATGCTAATTTTCAAAATACTGTTACCACTTTTGGGCGTTACTTTTACATATTCCGTTATTGCTCGATTAAAAAAGATTTTAATAGCGAAGTTGTCGATGGTACTGTTAATCATTTCCGATACAATGGCTTTGGTAATTTTTTGCAGATTTAATTTGAATTTGTCTTCATGTCATCAACCGTTTTCGTAAATTAAGCTATTAATTCCCATTTTATAGTTTAATAGATCTTAATGCTCCAAGATTATAGAACTTTTTCGTGTAAGATCGATTTGCAATATTATAGATATTACTGAGATGCATTTCCTTGAGAAGATTCATGAATTTATTTATCCAGGGTTGTTTTGCAAATAGATCAGCTTACAGTCAACTGGGATTAATTTCAGGTCTTCTTCTTTCGGCTAGTGGATGAAGGGAGTTGGATGGATATTGGTAGCAGCATAAGTCATTATTCAGTGTGCATGTTATTAACCGTTATAGTGTATACTCTGTTGAATTTCACTGAGTACCTGCTTCCTCTTTCACTGAGTAAAGTTGCACGCAAAGAGAGAATGACAGTCCAATGTATTCCCTGGCCTTAAAAACAGGGAAAAATATGGTTTAATTCTTTTTTCTAGTGCACAAATCTGTGAAAATATTCTCTAGGAAAATCGGGTATGCAGTGTTTATGAATACGGTAGTTGTTTCAGATGTCAGGGTTCCATTCCAGAATGCAACTTCCTCATGCCATGTAATGGTGATTGCATTTAATTTAACATGAATGACATGGACTTTTAATCATTCATAGAGTACGTTCCACAATACTTTATCTACATAACATATAGGTCTATCGACCCAGCTGCCAAACAAATTTGACTCATTTGTCTATTAGAAATAGTTTTCAGCTTTCTTCACACTTCCTGCTGCTTGTTTCCGAGGACTATAGTAAAGCCATATACCCTTAACTGACATCTTGAATGACGAATGATATAACTCACACGTGAACTCCGCGGTAAATTATGAGACATTTGCATATTCTGCACTAAGGCGCTTTGTAAACAGTATTGTGCTTTGTTTACCATTATGATGTGTGAAAAAACCTGCATTTTAGAAGTACTAACAGTATACTCACTCCAATTTATTCATTGTAATGCGTACTTTTTAATGAATTACTTACGCATACTATTACCATACTGTTTTTTTTTTTGCTCTGGAAAAAGCTTATTGTGCAATCGTTCACTGTTTTCTGCAGTCTGTTCATTCTGCTGTTGCAGATGTTAAATTACTTATATAGAAGTTTCTCAAGATGGATCTTCTACTGATAAAAAATAAAGAATTTTATTGCTGAAGTACAATATCATTATAACAACTGATAACATCCATATATAGCATGTAGCGGAACTAACTATGAATGTCTCTTTGAATACATCTCAGCTGCACAAGGATACAAAACTTTGCTCATAAAACTTAAACATGAGCGAAGGAAAAACCAGCCTGAGTAAAGTGAGGAAGTGTACATTACAACAGGAATTAGGTTTAAATTTAATATGAGGTTTTTTTTGTTTTAATATTTTATTAATATGAGGTACAATTTTCCACAATCCAAGTCGCAAATGACCCCCCAAAATATTCAGTTTTAGAGCTAAGATAAGATAAATGTAATATCAAAAGCAAAAATCACAACCTTTGTCGATCACAAAATACACGAATTATAGCACCATACCCGCCACGAGCTAATACCTAAAACAGTAATTTACTGCTAAGTTTATACCACGATTCCATGCAACATGAAAGTAGTGTGAAATATTAATAAGCCACGAAGATTTCTTAATTTTCTAATATTAATTATAAAATTTCATTATATATGCCAATAGTTTCCAGCTACTACTTGGTATTAAACAGAAAATATTACTTGAACTGCCGCATTTCAAAACTATTTAGAACTAACCAACTCCATAGCATTCAAAGTTGGATATGGTTTGGCAAATGTGTCTAAAGTGATCATTTTTTGATGTAGGGACCAAAAACACCAAAACATATTCTCCAAAAGTTAATTTTAAAACACAAGAAGGACTACATATATTAACAATAAACATCCAAAATATAAGATTTTCAAAACAATTAAAACTTAACTTAATTAAAAGAAGGCAATATCAGTGGAAACTTGCCGAAAAAAGACGAAACGGTTAAAATAAGCCTGATGTATTAACACATAAAATGACTTGAAATTACCTGAGCATGCCATAACAAGAGATACTGACAAGTAGCGTTATCAGCCTGAGTATCCATCGCCTTATATATGAACTTCATCAGAAGGTTTACTTCATCATCTGTTAAGCTCTTGACCACACTTTCGATATCGGCAGTTTTTATATTCATCAAAACTTTTGTTACTAGAGCGGTTGAACGATCTTTTATCGCCTACGATCACTTATGTCAATTAATTTATAAATTCACTGAAATATCTGAGATATGGCACATCCCCAAACAAGAAAAAACTTCGAAACCAAAACCTATTAAATCTACTATAGTCTAATTTTTGACAATATTTCCGACTGATTGCTACCTTTTTAACCGTTCTTCCCTGCTATCCCATGTGAAAATTTGAGACAAACCAATGAAGGGTGCATTGTTATCTCTCTTTCCAATCTTTCAAGGAGGAGATTTGAAGTGTAAGGATTTCACAGAATCCAGGAATTAACTAAAACTATGTAATAACTATGTAAAACTACGCAACTAAACTATGTAACAAACTCTTACTTCTGTACGTACTGCAGTGCATACATAAACAACTCATGGTATTAACTCTGTCTTATTTCTTTCCTCATTTCTTCCCTTTCTCCAGATAAAATTGTTAATCAAGAAAAACTGAAAAAAAATTTTAAGTAAACCTGGTTTTTACACTTTAATGGGGGGTTTGATAATGACGCTTTTAATGCTTCTTGCAACTTAGCCGACTGCAATAACTGATTAACAAGTCGTTCATCTGGTCCAATTCCGGGAGTTTCCGCATCTTCACAATCCACAAATTTTTCTGGATCAAAAGCATCAACATCCAGCTTCCGATAACTTGTGTTTTCGAGGTTTTTTGCCATTTACTATGCCGACTTCCTCCTAAAAGAACCACAGTTCACAAGAGAATGTGTTTGAAACTCAACCGTAAATTATAATAATAACTGATTAACAAAGCATAACAGATAGACCAGTTTAACCATCATTATAAGCCTTCTGGAATTCTAGAAACCATACGAGTATTCCCATATAAATGATGCACTCAAATTTATTTCCCTGTTCATCACATCTTCGCATAGCGAATAAGGTGAGAAAATTACAATAAATCGTACCGACCGGAACATCGCACCTGTCACCGGATAATTTAAACCTGAATCGTGAACTATTCATGCTATCACACGTCTCAGCACATCTTACTCTCATTCCTGACTCCAAGATGAAATAGATAAAACTAATTAGATGACAGTATTCAGTCTTCTCAACCAGACAAGAAATGATGGAAGAAATAGGATGTGTTTGACGAGCAGCCGGAAATGATTGTAACAAGGAAATTTGCAGTTCGTATTGTGCGGGTGTTAATTACGCGTGATCAGAGAACCGGATAAGGAGCCTATTTGGCTCCAGTTTTTCGAGCTGTTCCATTTATCGGTGGTCGAACTCTGTTCATCTTTACACCTGAATTCCATATTTCATCTCTGAATTTTTGTCATAAATCACTAATCAGGTATATTTTGTGTTTACTTATTTCATTTTCATTTCTGTCTTTTTCTTTTTTTTTTATTTCCTTCTTTACTTTCGTCAATTTTATACGCATAATTATATGACATTAACATTTTTGAGATTTTATTTTTATAGTAGGATGTAGTGGAATTGATCTCTTTGAAGAAGCATTTGCATGGAAAATAAAGGAAAAAGAGAAAAGGAAGAAATATTAATTTGTGAAATAACTTTCGTCAGGATATATCAAATACCATTTCCATTATTATCCGAAATAGAACATTACTTTTTTCTCACAGAATTGTTCATAATTATTATTCATTTCCTCAGCGTCAAGGTTTTAATGGTCTAGAAAAGATGGCTTAAAATTAAACATTTTTGTTTCGACCCACACAATTTTAGCTTGATTTAGCACAGCTTGACATTTACCAAGCTTTTCTTTACTGCTTATATATATATTCAAACATTTCTCCTGCTGTAATACGTTTCCTACATATATTTCACAGTCTTCTATGACAATGTTCAGTAGTAAAATTGTCGTAGTGTAAGGTTATCGTCTAAAACTATTGAACATGAAATACAATAAGGCTTAAAATTAGCATAATTCGGGATTATAATAAATTGTTTATTTTGGATGAGGTGTTTAAGAAGTTAGTGATGAAATGGAGAGTATACTGTATAGCAAAGCGTACAAGTCAATCAAATTATAAGTTGTATAGGTCAAAACAAAAGTTTTTAGCTGTTTAGATTTGAAAGGAAATTGTAACTTTAAAAGTCTCTTGCAAGAGTTTATTTCTTATATATATATAAATAATTTTAGAACAACAAAGAGATGAATGCAGCAAAACGTGGAAGGTTAGGTAATGCACTACCAACACTGAAATGGAAGAAAGTAGTAAACACAACGGGCCCTACCCCACGGTAAGTTTCACTGAAATCAAGGTTGTAGTTTATAGATTATCACACTAAAAAAAAAGTAAAAAAATTAAATTAGCTTCCAACTACCCATATTTATGGAAATTCAGGTGGTAGAAACGAATCTTCTTCGTTTGAACTCACTTTGACAATCAGAAAAGTTTGGATTGGTTCAGGTGTAGTTTTTTTCTTATTACTTGATATAATTATTCACATAAAGCATTTTTTCTTTTTTTCTTTAATTCTATCACTTACTAGACCGCGCCACGGTCATCGAGCAGTTTCGATTAAAGATCTGATGATAGTTTTTGGTGGAGGCAATGAAGGTATCGTCGATGAGCTACACGTGTATAATACAGGTTGTTTTTGGCTTTTCCTTTGGAAAACTTCCTGAAAGCCGCTTTCACGTTGTTATTGTGTATGTTGGTAATGGATATGTTGGTTTTTCTTGCGACTAACAAAGCTGTTATAATTGAGCCTGATAAGTCTTTAATAATGTGTATACTTCTCCTTGTGCTTTATATTTCATCTATAACATTCCTTTGTGTTTGATTGATGTGTGTCTGAGGGGATGTAATTGTGCGAAACTGCTGAATCTAAAGAATCTCTTTTTCCTTCATTTACAGCAACAAATCAGTGGTTTGTTCCGGCTGTCAAAGGTGAAGTACCAGCTGGATGTGCAGCCTATGGCATTGTTTGTGACGGTACTAAAATTTATCTCTTTGGCGGTATGGTTGAATATGGAAGGTTTGTGTTTTAAGTTTTCACTAAACAAATGTTTCTTAGTCAGATTCTTTGCGTTGTGGAATAAGGTGTGGAACTGCAATATATCAAGCTTTTTTCATAGTTGCTTCAGAGTACCAATTTAATTTTAGATATTCCGCAGACCTTTATGAACTTCAAGCTAGTAAATGGGAATGGAAACGCTTACGACCGTGGCCACCAAAAACTGGACAACCTGCTCCATGTGCTCGTTTGGGTCATTCTTTCACGCTTGCTTCGAATCAGGTGGAGTTTAATTGAAATGGAAATTATAGGTGATTGTGGTTTTATATATGGCGAAAAGATGTAGTTTTGTTCTTTGTTTTTTTTTTTTTCGGTTTTAGGTTTGTTATATATTTGGCGGTTTGGCTAATGCTAGTGACGATCCGAAAAATAATGTTCCACGCTACTTGAATGATTTGTATGTTTTGGATCTCAATAAAGCAAATAATCTGCAGTGGGAATTTCCTGATGTTAGTTGCAAATTTTCAAGTTCGATTCAGTAATTTTTTGTTTTCTGTTTATTGAATGAAATTTAATCTCAAATATCAAAAACTGCAGGTTATCACAATAATATGTCTTCTTCATTAACTTGTATAAGTTTGCTGCACTATGTAGTTTAAATTCTTTCCTGATCCATTTAAACGACTTTTGAAACTTTGAAATGTCAACCAATTAGCATTTTAAGTGATGCCAATAAAGTAGAACAGTTTCTTAAACGAAAGAGAATGGTTGGAAGCATCCGCATACATAAGAATGGCAAGATAACTTTTGCAGTCTTACACAGTCATCTCCATTAATCTATCATCTCCTTTATTGTAGACATATGGGTCTCCTCCGCCTCCACGTGAATCACATTCTGCAGTCATAGTGGAAAATAATGGTGAACATCGACGAATGATAATCTTTGGTGGTATGAATGGCTGTCGTCTTGGTGATTTGTGGTTTTTAGATCTTATCTCAATGACATGGACGAAGCCTGAAATTGGTGGTATTCCACCTCTACCACGTTCGCTTCATTCTGCTAATATCATTGCTGAAAGGTACTTCTGTCAAATTTGGAACAAATATCTCCTAGAATCTGAATTAAATATAGTGAGGAACGGAATTTAAGGTTAACAGTAATTTGATCTGAGTCCGACTCTCCAGTTCTCTTCGGCCATTAATCGGAGGGAAAAAAAGGGTCGTAGAATCTAACTAGAATAAATAAATAGATTAATCCTAAACGGTGAATTAACGTATTTGGACAAACTTGATAATCGTCAAGGGTAGAATTTATTAGTAAAATATTTGTCTAAATCGTATTATTGTAATTCTGTATTCAGAATGATAGTATTCGGCGGGTGGGTGCCTCTTTTAACTCCCGATACGAAACTACAGCAGGTCGAAAAAGAATGGAAATGCACAAACACACTCGCTTCCTTGAACTTACATACAATGTGCTGGGAAGATCTATCGTTAGAACTTCTTGAATGTAAGTGACAATTTATAAGTGATGATTCTGATATTTAGAATCATTTCAGAGCTATATTCCGCAATAAAATTACGTGACAATGCCAAGTGTTGCTTTTTAGCCAATCAATATCATTATGATGTTACAGTGAAGCGCTGTAATTGATGTAGGAATTGATAAATTTAGCCGCGGTACCCAGAGCTCGAGCAGGACACAGTGCAGTTGTTATTAATAAACGTTTGTATATTTGGTCTGGAAGAGATGGTTATCGTAAAGCTTGGAACAATCAGGTATCATCGTTATTGATAACGGAGATTCGAGATCCCAAGAAATCTTTCATTATAATAAATTTTTACAAATATTCCAGTATATGTACTCTTGGAAGATTCGCTGTATCAGATTCATGGCAATGGCTGATCACTTTTCCTTGAAATTTGCTGCAAGATATTATTTTAGGTTTGTTGTAAAGATATGTGGTATCTGGAAACAGATAAACCTGATGCACCTGGACGTGTGCAGCTTATTCGTGCTACAGTATCGGGTTTGGAAGTATGTTGGAATGCTGTACCTACAGCTGAAGCATACTTTTTGCAGTTACGTAAATTTGAGACAAAACCTCATGACAGTTAGTTTTATATTTAATTAGGCCAAAGTACAGTGAATTTCACTTCCTGAAGTTTTGATACCCTATTGTTCAGTTTTAAGAAAAATAATGCTATCATGCTATTTCGACTGTGCAGTTTTACAAACGATAGATTTCGATAAAATATCAAGATTCATAGCACTTTAAATTAAACTTCAGTATATTTATGTAGGTCAGTTTAATTGATTTGAATCCCGCGTTAAGTGAAGAAATCATTACGAAAAAAAAAAAAAAAAAATCAAACTCTTACAAGTAACCTAAAGGTTTTACAGTGAAAAAGAGCCAAAAGAAGCTCCAATAAATTCGAAGAGAATTCGAAGTTCATATTTCATATTGCTAAGATAAGCGCAAATCTTTTAGTTATCAAATCAGCATCTAGTCTTCGTGTGGCTGCAACAGGGAAACCGTTGGCAGGGAAAGTAATCGCAATTCGGAGTGGTACGGCTAGTGGACCGCAAGTTATGAAAGTGGTCAGAAGTGCACCTCGTGGTGCAGCAGCTATTATGGGCCACGGTCCTCGCGGACATTTTCTCCGCGTTTTACCTGCGCCAAGGCTCACCACTTCAAATCAGGTGAATTTGCTGTTTGTTCCT